CTTGCTTGCTATTGTATTTAACATACTTATAATGTATTATGTGATTTTTTTGTCTCTTTGATATGTTCCTCCCACACAGTATAACCGCTGTTTTCACTGTATTTGATTCCGGTGCCCTGCATCTTGTATATACACTTTTCTAATTTTGGAAGGAGAAGGGAAAAACAAAAAGCTTAAATAGGGATACAGGTTGACTCATTGTAACAATGAGTTTTACAAGACATTATGTTGAAAACAAACTACAACTTCGGTGCAGGGGACGGGGGAGGGAGTAGTTCAGGAGGTGGGAAGGAAGGAATGGTGGGGGAAAAACAAAGGAGGAGGCAACAATGCTCAATAGGAAATGTACTCATTACCTTATTCACGTAAGTGTAACCCCTCTGTACAGTATTTTTACCTTAAAAAAGTCTTGAAAAAAAAGTGTGAGACTCTTACATCCAAAAAGCAGGAAGTAGAAATGTGACTCAATTGGTAGAGCGTCAGCCTGGAGTGGAAAAACTAAGGGGTAGCACCCAGGTCTGGAGTTCAAGCCCCAGTATCAGAACAAATATAAAAATATTATCAATTATTAATTTTTCTAATTTCAAGCAATCCTATATCCTCTTCCTAGTCTTTTGGCTAAGCCCTGGAGTCAGACAGAGAGTATAGTCAAAAAATTTCATTATTGAGGTTCCAAATCTTCCATTTACAACTCATTGGCTCTTGTGGTCAGCAACTTCTCATTTTAAAAGTTACCTTGAACTAGCCATTATTTTCTGTAAACTTACCTTAGAATCAGTAGGGAAACAAAAAGACAATGTTTTGTAGCAAACGTTTGTAAACCTAGATGATCAGGTGGGTCAAGATGGATTTCACAATTATATATCTACTCAGGAATGTTCAGAGATAAGATGAAAGCAGCCCTTCATATTAATCACACGTTGTATATTTGACTTTCTGCCTGCCAGCTCAGCCTTTAAATCACTGACATCTGTCTCCTGCTACTTAAAAGTACCATTACCTTTTGCATTAAAAGGCAGTTACAACTAGACAAAGCTCCCCCATTTGATTAAAAACTAATTAACTAGACACAGTCATGCTACTCATCATGGCAGCTTACATAAGAACCTTAGTGTAGGTTGGAGAGCTACTTTATGTTGGCAGCAAGGTCAATACATCTGTGAGGCTCTGTGATGAATGGCCATGATGAATGCTGACATGAAACAGTGACTTGACTTTGCTGAGGTTAACTTCTACAGTTGAAAAGATAATACAGAACAATAATACAAAACAGTCAACATCTGCAAGGTAAGTAAGCTAAGAATCTAAAGCAAAGCAGCTGAGCCTTGATAAAGCCCCACGATCACATGGCTATCCTCATCAGAGAGGCCTGGGATATACCCAGAACAAGGCAAACTCTGGGAACTGAGCGCTACTGATGAACTGCATAAGCTATTGAGGTAAAATTATCAATGATCAATTTTCATGTATAATGATCAGATCATGGACTGTAGTTTACTGATAAATGAATTCTCTTCAAGATGTAAAATCTGCAGAGAAAGTCAAATCATTATTGAAATATCTTGGTAAGCAGGAAATTTAACCTGTCAGTGTAAGTTTGATAGGCTAAGTAAATGCCACTCAAAGAAAACATTGCCATTTGTGAACAGAGGTAAAAAAAATGGGCATAACATTGGACATTAGAATATAGCTGTCTTTATTGAGAAAGTCTTGTCCATATGTATAGTTTGCAGAACAAAATAATGTAATTCATGACACAGATAACTTAAGGTTCTGGCACAAGCTCTACACTGTACAGCTGTTTACAAATAGTTTTTACACCGACAGCTCTAGGGACCACACTTTAAGAAGTACTGGGTCTTGGCCTGAATCAGAATTAAATTGGCAACATTTTAAAATATATGATTTCCTATTATAAGTCATTGAAATTTTCTGGAATGCAAATCCTCCATCTGTGTTTTGAAATTCTCCCCAGGTCATTTTGTTTGTTTGTTTGTTTTTTGTAGCAATACCAGGCTTTGAATGCAGCACCAGTCCTGGTGATGTCCTTTGGCTTATTTTTTTTTTTTTTTTGCGAGGTCAAATTTTGGAGTCTTTATTGAAGTCTGTAGGTGGCCAATTGTCAGAAAGACCTGCAGCCCCAAGCAGAGCGTGCACCAAGCTTTTAAACTCAAGGCCGGCACTCTACCACTTAAGCCATAGACCTACCTCTGGCTTTTGGCTGGTTACTTGGAGACAAGAATTTCACAGACTTTCCTGCCAGGCAGACTTTGAGATGTGTTTCTTAGATTTCAGTCCCATTAATAGCTAGGATCCTCATATCTCAGCCTAAGAAATGAGACATGAGACATCGATGCCTGCTTTCCATGTGATTTTGATGAACATTCAAACATTAGGAGCTGCTCAAAACAAATATGCAGGACAACTAGGTAGTACTAAGCTGACTAGACTAAAGGCTAAGAATTCGATTTTGGTGTGGCAGTTATTGTGAAACTCAGTTAGAGGTTTCTGAGCCTCCAACTGCAGAGTACCACATGTAAAGCGCTTTAACATGTGATGTTGTAAAAAGAAAGTATTTAGCTCAATACCTGTTGCATAGCAAGCAGCTAATAAATGTCTGCTATATATGGCAGGCAGATATTTGTAATGGAACACTATCTCTCATTTTCTAGGGCCTATGTATTCATAAATAGCTTCCCCCAAACAAGCAAGGAATGTACTGCTAATATTTGCTTGCCTGAGGCTTCTTTTGTCAAACATTTGACAAACATTTGTCAAACATTTGAGTTATCAAATCTGATAACTCAAAGGCTTTGTTGCAAGTGTTAATAAAACATAAATAAATGTGATTGAAGGGAAAAGGAAGAAAAACTTGGTGGCTAAGGACAGATCATATAATTTATCATGTAATTTACAATTGAATGTCCAATCGTTGATCTGACTAAAACCATACATGCTTCATGGTGTTCAAAATTTATCATTTTCCTCTATATTGCTTGGCTCCATTTAGTCTGAAAAGAAAACAAAATTTCCCCAAGTTAAGGGTAGCATTAGGAAAAAGGGATTATATATGGAGTTCAAAATGACATTTCATTGCTACTTTGACCTAGCCTCTTATTTTCTACCCTTCCCGTGCTATTAGGATAGCTGAATTCAACTTTAATATAAATATAAAACATAAAGGACTTATATTTTGTTAATACAATTCCCAATATTTCTTCTTATCTATTTTGTATTTGTTTTATAATGGACTTTTACAGATTAAATTCCTCTCTTTCCCTAGTTTTCTTCTAATTTGTGACTCAGAGTGGAAAAGGGGTTGTCTTATAGTGACCAAGAACAAATTCAAATTTATTCACAACAGTAGAAGTGTGTATATATATATGTATATATATATATATATATAAATAAACATGTATATATATATATATATATTTGATTCTATGCTTTCAGTTCTATAATTTTGGCAGATTCCTGTTTGATAAGTAGAACTAAGCCAAGGATGATGTTAGAAACTGAGCTGCCAAAGTTTCACAAAGGGGACCATACATTTAGACTCTATTTATTACCTGACAATAGTGATATTGTGGATGATAAAAATCATAGATGCATTATGGTTCACTCAATCAGTAAAAATCACGTAGCTATTAATGACTTGGAACTCAGCTTACTAAGCACGACTTGGCAAAGCAATCAAGTGGTTAAAAGTGTTGGTATGAAAGTTGAGGACTTGAGCTGCTCAAGTCCAAGTCTGGCTGTTTCTGTGGTGTGTGGCCTTGGATCTAACTTCTCTGGGATGTGATTTCCTCATATATGTAATTGAGTAATAAAACGTAGTCAGCATGCAGTGGGGGAGAATTGAGTGAGCTGACAGGGGCAGGGGGAGGGTTGAGGTTGCATTTATCAAGCAATGCATAGGCACAACCTTATTCTCCCAGGTGCCTGACAAGCTCAATCAGTTAATAATTCTTCTTGGCCCTTCTGGTACTATTCATTTTCTATCACCATAGTGTTCTCTTAAGATGGCATCATAAAGGAATGAGTGTAACTCAAGGCAAGATGGGGAAGCTGTGCTTTGTGAACTGTATTTTCAAGGCTCATTTTTGAGCTTTCAAAAGAACAAGCTCTCAGGTTTGGCAGTTTGCCTCTTACATATGTCACTGCCTATATTTTAAGATTCCTTAAAAACTTTTATTTGGGGAATCTATACCATCCATTCCTCCATGGTAGAATGACCTTTAATTTATCACAATAAGAATGAAGTCGGTACATTGAATTTTTCTGAGATGTGTGTGGTCAGCATGGTATAACGCAAAGTCCAAAGCACTAAGATGCAGATTAAATTCATTTGCTATCTCAGCTTCATTCTTGCTGGGTAACCCCAGGCAAATCAGTTACCTTCTCTGCTTTTATTTATCAGTCATAAGTGAACACAAACAATGAGATAGTGCCTAACTCACATCTTTTTTTTTCTTTTTTTCTTTTTTTTTGGGGGGGGGGGGGGTCTGGTCGTGGGGCCTGAACTCGGATTGGACGCTGTCCCTCAGCTTTTCAGCTCAAGGCTAGTGCTCTACCACTTGAGCCACAGCGCCACTTCTGGTTTTTTTCTTTTTGCTTATGTGGTGCTGAGGAATCGAACCCAGGGCCTCAGGCATGCAAGGCAAGCGCTCTACCACTGAGCCACCTTCCCAGCCCCCTAACTCACATCTTTTCCAAGAAGATTAAATATGATAATGTTGACGATAAAAAAGCAGGGTCCAAGCTCAACTTTTCATGATGACCAGGACTATGTGATCTATTTATCCATACATTAAAAGTTGGTTAGCAAATGGACTTCTGTGTGCTCTGGTCCCATTTCCCCAGCTCCCAGAGATCATAGTGGATCCCTGCCAGATGACCAGTTTGCCAGCTGTGTCTTGTTTGGTCATTGTAAATATTACATGGCCCAAGTGGGAGGCTTTGCTTATAATATTGTGTGCTTTGTCCTTTATCTGTTGCAGCTTGAGAATTACATTGTGGAAAATATGAAGTCGGAGATGGTCCAGATACAGCAGACGGCAGTGCAGAATCACACAGCCACTATGTTGGAGATAGGAACCAGCCTCCTATCTCAGACAGCAGAACAGACCCGAAAACTGACAGATGTTGAGACCCAGGTATGCCCCTGTGGCCAGAATCCATGTGCTCAGCAAGAGGATTTTCCCCCACTTAAAAAAAAATCTTTGACTTCCTCCATAAACACAGAACACATGTCACCATGGGGATGGGGGAAATATATACATTTTTGTTGATTGGTAATAGCAACAATGACTGGCTGACATGCTATGCATGGTTCTTTTGACTTAATGAGGCTTGATATATTTAGCTTTGTGTGTTTTGTATTTAGCAAAAAAAAAAAACAAACAAAAAAAACAGGGCTGGTAAAGGACCCAGTCAGCACTGAAGTTTAAAATAAACACTGCAGTAGCCCACTGTGATGTGAGATTTGTCAAACAAAACAACCACTTAGGTCAAATAGGTGTTTAGATATCTATTTGTGACCTGTGTTGTTTTTGTTCTGGTAATGCTGGAGCCCTGTTGGCACCTGCAAGAGTTTCTATGCTCAGTGGATGTAAAGAAAAACCTCACGGCCAGGTGCTGGTAGCTTACACCTGTAATCCTAGCTATTCAGGAGGCTGAGATCTGAAGTACACAGTTTGAAGTTGGTCTTAGCAAGAAAGTCCATGAGATCCTTATCCCCAATTACCCACTCAGAAGCTAGAAGTGGAGGGGCACCTAAAGGGATAGAGCACTAGCTTTGAGCATAAAAGCTCAGGGACAGTGCCCAGCCCCGTAATTCAAGCCCCAGGACATCTCTCTCTCTCTCTTTCTTTCTCACACGCAATCTCTCACTCTCTCGCTCTCTCGCTCTCTGGCTAGCTCTATCTCTCTGACACACAACATACACTCTTTCTCTCTCTCTAATGCTCACACACACATACACACACGAGAGAAAAAAAATCTCAGTTAACTGAGTAATATAGAATATTGTTTGAATATAGATTAATTAAAAACTAGAATGGTCTAATGATTACTACTATAAACTCACATTATATTTGGCTACAAATAGCATATGTCATTTTTTGATGATTAGAAAATGACCTCTTAGCATCCTTCATAATAGAATGATTGTTTTTTAAAATTACCATTCTAAAACTAAAGAGATGATTTCATCCAAAGTAGCTTATGTCTATCAAAATATATAAGTGAATTTTATATATTTTATATAAAGAGTGTAACCTTATTTCTATTTGACTAAATATGTACTAGTGGTATCTATCATAGGTTATATGCTGATTTTTTTTAAAAAAAAGAAACTATAATAACTGATATGGATAGAGCCTTTTATATAACAAACACTACTTCCCTCTATACAAAGAATATTTAGAAAAACCATCAAAGGGGGTTTGAGGGAAGTTCCCTGATTGCTGAAATTAATGAATAGAATTCAAACTCTGAATATCTCCTTTCTTCTCTTTCCCATTCCTGTGATTAGTAATTTCTAATTACCAATTAACTTAGAACTTCAATGTGGATGGCATTGAAGAAGTAAATCACAAAGGCTTCGGAAAATACTTTTTACTGCACATATGAATCAGATAAACACGGTGTGTAGAAAAGGAGGAGCTACATATATTATTATAACTAAAAACTACAAGGTCAATTTAATCATTTGTTATCACACTAAGCAAGTTTGTGATCTATTCAATATTAGCTTATTATAGGATAAATAATGTTTTTGTTCTTTTCTCTTTTATTAGCACAGAACGCTCACTGTTTCAAAACATTCTCATATTCTGGATAAAATAAAATATTATATATATAGATATATATAATATATATATCTACACACACATTGATTGCACATTTACAATTGTTTTTTTTGTCATGGGGCCTGAGCTCTGGGCCTGGGCGCTGTCCCTTAGCTCTTCAGTTCAATGCTAGTGCTTAACCACTTGAGCCACAGGCTCACTTCCAGCTTTTTTTGCATATGTGGTGCTGAGAAATCCAACCCAGGGCCTCATGCATGCTAGGCAAGCATTCTACCACTGAGCCACCTTCCCAGCCGACGCATATACATTTTTCATACATGTATAACATATATGGCAGGGTTTATTTCTTTTACCATATCTCCAAAGCCTTTTGTTTTTATTCTTTCTCAACTAGGAGTTGGAATTGTGTGGGTAGGGGGAGGAGGCTTTTTAAACTCCAAATTGTATAAATGATACTATGTATAGTCATAAGATATGGATGGTATGGAAAATTGTACCAGACATTCAAAGGAAAAAAAATAAGACTATGTGCAAAAGCTAAAATTTTAATTAAAGGCCAGTTAATCAGATATAACAAAATCAGTTTTAAGGTATCTCAAACCTGGAAAAGCAAGAAAGAAATACAAACCTATTAGAACTAATAATGTGAACTAAGTATAAAAAAGGAAAAGAAAGATCAAACTCTATTCTACCTTAAAAAATGTTCCTTGGGTTGGGTGCTATGTCTCATGTTTGAAATCACAAATAACTTGGGAGGCAGAAATACAAGGGTTAAGGTTCAAGGCCAGCCAGGGCAAAAAAATTAATAAGATCACATCTTACGTGTGGTAGACACATCTCCTAGCTACATGGGAGGTTATAGATAGAGATTGTTGGTTTGAGGCCAGTCCAAAGCAAGAACATGATCTCATACCTGAAAAAGTCATAAAGGTGAAATACAATCTGAGAGCATGGACAAGTAGTAGAGGATTTGCCTGTTAAGCAAAGCTTTGAATTTAGTGTTCCTTTCATTTTCATTTTAGTATCATCTGATATTTTATGCTGTTTTTAGCTCCAATGCTCCGAATATTTTTCATTTCAGTGGATATGCAGTGGGTAGATACTTAAATTATTGCAACAGAACCAATTATCCAATACAACCACACAAATGCACACAAAAGTCCTGATGCAAGCCAACATTTACTACATGAATCTTCAATTATTCCTTAGCCAAATGCACTCTTCATTTACAGCCAGCATTTTTAAACTGACAGATCATTTTTTTTGCTGTCTATAACTTTTGCTATCTATAACATTTTGCTTCTATAACTTTTTAAAAACTGACTTTAGTGCTTCAATTATTTCAGGGACTTGAATTCATAACAAGGGCTTTGCAAAACATTAGCATGCTTGGCTCTCACATGATGATGCTATAAAGATAAGTCACTTATTGCTTTCTAGTCCTCTGCTGACCTTTCAGAATTGCACTTTAACAAAAGGTCTGAGAGCTGTGGTTTTGCTGCAATGCATTTTAAGGCTTCTGTGCTTGGTGAGCCTCCTGATCAGCAACAAGATGGATAATAAACACATCAGCGTAACTGGTGGCAAGAATCAGCAACCCACACCAAGTCCTTTCCTCCCTCCATAGTCTTGTTAGTGCTGCTCTCATTCTATTTTCAGTTTGTACCCAGATTACTTCTCCTTCAACTTCCTCTTTCCCAGTATGCAACAGGTGGCCAGCTAGTTTCAGCAATGATTGATGTTCCTTGGTTTGGGGCTAACCATCAGACAAACAAGCTCTTTTAAAATCCACCTTTAATAATCTGTACGTGGCTTGCTCTCATCAATCATAAGTATATTATGTATTTAAAAGTATAGCAAATCATTTGGGGTCAGCAAGTTCCATGTGATGCTTAAAGACAAAGCAACTGAAACTAAGAAAGGTGACATAACTTAGCCACAATGAAAGAATCTGTGTGTGTGAGAATGAGGATTGAGTCAGTCTATCCCACAGAAAAGTCTCCATGCTTAGAAGCTCTCTGTCAAGGCTGTCTCTGTCCTGTGGTTTCTTTATTTTAATAAGGCCACAGGATAGTATAAATGGGTCCAAGCAGAGAGTCAGATGGAAGTCAGAGGAAGCAAAAGGAAGGCAGTGCTACTGTCTTCCAAAAATGATAAAGATGTTGCTGCTGTCCTAACGACAGTGATTATTCCGTCCACTTATCGCCATATCCTGGTGATGCATGCAATGCTAGCCGCAGGGATGGCCTCGCCCCTCTTTAGCTGTGTCAACTCGAGGACTTCCTCAGACATGGTGCCCACGTTTCCTCCAGTCTCCAATAACTTTCAACCCTGGCGTGTGAAAAATGGAATCTAATCAAATTCAAAGAGATATGATTTGAGTATTTCCATACTGCAAGATATTTTAATAGGGTAGTCTGTAGCGTACAATAACAAATAAAGCAGCCCGTACATTCAGGGAGGCATGAACATAAACACCCCTTAATATTAATATGGCAAAGTGTCTCTACATCATTTCTCTTTTAACTTTGGGTCAAATTAGTTAGCTATAGAGTTTTCCCTCACAGCCATAAAAATGCACGTTTTTAGTCTCCTGCTCAGGGGAGTGTAATTGACCAGTGAGCCCAGCTGCTGTGCTTTGAAATCCATCATGTGTTGGTACAGAGACCGCAATTCCCGATGGCCACTTCCAGGCAATGAGTCACTGTGGCAGGATCCTGCGTTCTGCTCCCAAGAGCTGAAGCACTGCATGGACACAGGACTTTGGCTAAGGGCTCCCAGTGCCTTGGTGAACTTTCTCACAGCTGCCCCGAGGTCTGCTATTTCCCCTCAACCCATTCTTCCCTCTCTTCTTCACATGTATTTCTCCTCGTGTATTTCTTCCATGGTAGAGGCAGTACTTAGACTACAGAGGCAAAAATTATGTGTTGAGAGTAAGTGACCCAACACAGTTCCACTCAAAATGGTCAGAATGGAAAGCAAGCAGTGACCAGTCAGTTTCCAGAGCAAAAGCACTGGCTGCCTTTTCTATCATGACTAACATTAACAATGATTCTCTTAAAATTATCTAATCACCACATTCATTTTCTCAATAATTTCACCAAAAGCGTTATTGATATTTTGGTTTTCAGGGTTTAATACTCCTATTTAATCTGGAAGTGGTCTTCCAGTATTTTCCCCACTTCAGTCTGGCAGATTTTTTTTTTTTTTTGGTTGATCGTGGGGCCTAAACTCTGGGCCTGGGCGCTGTCCCTCAGCTCTTCAGCTCAAGGCTAGTGCTCTACCACTTGAGCCATAGCGCCACTTCCGGCTTTTTTCATTTTGCTTATGTGGTGCTGAGGAATCGAACCCAGGGCCTCATGCATGCAAGGCAAGCACTCTACCACTGAGCCACCTTCCCAGCCCTGGTAGGCTGGCTTTAAAATGCAATACTCAGATCTCAGCTCCCTGAGTAGCTAGAATTATAAGCATGAGCCGTGAGTATCCAGCTATTATTCTTTTTTAATTAATTAAGATTAAAATTTGTAAGTAGTTATACAAAGGAATTGCCATTTAACAAATCAAGTTATAAGTACAATGTATCTTGATCAATATCACCCCTTTTCTCGTTCCACCCAACCCATTCCCTCCCCTTAATTTTCATGGTGCTTGCATTTTTTCTCAATCCTCAATCAACTTTACTGTTCTGTTAATATAAATATTAAAAATCAAAGCTACTTTAAAAAGTGTTAAAGAAGTCTGTCTGAAGTTTCCTTGTTTGCTTTCTCATGGGAACAAATCTTTTCCATTTTTTTTAAGATTTTAAAGTCTATAAATCCTCCCTTTCATATCTATGTCTTCCTTACTCTGATGTACTCTGGAAAATTTAAGCTTTGACACTGTTCCTTGGAGGCTTGTTTTCTATATTCTTTGCTCTTTTTTTTTTTTTCTTCCTTAATTTTATTTTTCCTAGAGATGTGCTTTTCGGATGTGTTTAGGCTATGAAGGAAATGCCTTTTGTCATTTTAATGGAATTCTTTGGTTATTGCAAAGCAGCAAATTCATAGATACACAATAAGGAAGTGGTCAATTTATCATAGTTGCTATCCAGTTCTTTGGGTTGCCCACTTTTGAACTTTAGGACTGTTTGAATACATCAGCAGAGAGAGTTGAAATAAAGCAGCAATCAGGTCAAGGTGATTGGGAAAGAGGAGAATTGATTGACATTCATGCTCAGCACTGGCTTGGTGTAACCAGCAGTTAGCCTGGACTCTGAGATTAATCTTCCTCCTTCTCTTATGTTTGAGCATGATTTTAGATTTGGACTAGTATAGTTGAAATGCAGATTGATATTCATATAAGCCTGATATTTTCCCCTCTGATGATTATCTACATTAAAAAGCAAGCCACTGTCTATTGTCAGGATGTCATCTAATACATAGTTGAGAATTTCAGTGTTCAGAACCCTATGCTCAGGTCTGGGGGTACAGGAGGCTCCATCCAGACTGAAACCCTAACACAGAAGAAACATAGCGTGTGAGTGAATGAGCAAGATTATCATTAGCAGTGATGTTTCCATAAGGAAAAAATATAGCACAATACTTCACCCCCCAACAGGATTTGATCAGCAATGAGAAGGAATAAGAATTCCAGACAAGTGAAAGAGCAAGTAAAAGGTAGTGGGATGGGGATGGTTTTGCCATAGTGAGGTGGCAGAAAGAAGGCTATGGAGTTGCAGCATAATAACCAGGAGTAACAGGAAGTGAGATCCAAGAAACAGAGTCCTGTCACCTAAGGCGTTGGAGGTCAGGCTGAGGGTTTGGAATTTCAACTAATTGCATAGGAATCCATTAGCATATTTCACATAGGAAATGACAAGATCCTATCTGTGTTTAAAAAGATCTCCCTGGTTACTCTGGTAAATGGACTGAAAGTAGTCTAATGAGAATTGGAAAGATCGATTAGTAGCTGTAATAGTCTCCAGAGTTAGAGGTAGGCAAAAACTGCACTGTTAATTTGAAATGGTTCTGTTCCATTCTATGTGAACCTGAAGCATACTCACTATTCCTTGTATAAAAAATATGGTGGTGTTGGCAGATGCCACCAGGTATGAGGGAGTTCAGTGAATCAAGTGTTATATGTTACCTTTGGTTCAGTGCGATACTGTACCCATATTAAAAATCATGGAATGTACTCTGGGCTAAACAATCTCCTAAGTGTCACCAAACAGTATATGCTTGTCACTCTTTACTCATTATTAATAACTTTATAAGCTGTCATTTATAACTTTACAATTTATAAATTGTCATTCAGTTAAAGCAAAGGGAAAGAAAGTTTGTCTGGATAAAAACATGTTGAAAGTTAGAATTACAGTAAGGCAAATGAGATCATGGGACACTGAATCAAATATGCCTGGGATCAGCACCTGTCTTTATATTGAAATAATATTCTGTTCAATATGCATTTTTGCATTAATTTTAATTGCTAATTGATACATTAAGAGATTATTTATTTAGATGATCCAGGTTTGTGAGCATTTTTTTAAAAGTTCACAACAAAGGCTATTGCCTTTCTTCCCTCAGCCTGTGACTGCCTTATCCCCCAAAATTGCATTCAACTTCATTGCAATCTCTATTAACTCAAGCCCAGCCCTAAGTATTTCAGTATAGCTGGAAAAGGTGTTCTGTGTGCATGTGATATAATCCCAGATTTCAACCTGTTACTAGACAAGAGAAAAGCTCTAAAATATATCTTTTTTTTCTTTTTTCTTCTTTTTTTTTTTTTTTTGCCGGTCATGGGGCCTGCACTCTGGGCCTGGGCGCTGTCCCTCAGCTCTTCAGCTCAAGGCTAGCGCTCTACCAATTGAGCCACAGCGCCACTTCTGGCTTTTTCTGCTTACATGGTGCTGAGGAATCAAACCCAGGGCCTCATGCATGCAAGGCAAGCACTCACTGAGCCCCTTTCCCAGTCTGTAAATATATCATTTTTAAAGGACAACCCTATGTATTGATTCTGATCTTGTCAAACATTCCCAGACCCTCTTTAATAAGTGAGGCTAAGTAAGGTGTAATGTAAAGAGTATTAAAACTTAATTATCTGTCTCTGTCTCTGTCTCTGTCTCTGTCTCTGACTCTGTCTCTGACTCTTTCTCTCCATCTCTCTCTCTCTGTCCCTCTCTGTCTCTCTCTCTGTCTCTCTCTCTCTCTTTTCCTCTCTCCCTCTCTGTTGCTCAGGAACAGGGCACTGACTCAATATGAAGACAGCTGCTAGGACTTCAGCCTGTTGACTTTGCCAGAATGTCAGGTTTGGCTAATGGCTCAATGGCCTCTGTCCACAGATGTCCACAGACTTCAATGGCTGGGCTCCCTCTCTTAGTTTTCTGAGTAGAGCAATATAATCAAGTCAAACTACCTTGTTAGAAAGGCATTTGGAGTCTTGTATCATTTGGGCATATCTCTGAATTTCATTTTCCTCATTTGTAAAGTTGTGATTACAATTCCTTCTTCAATAGGTGACTATGGGTAGTAACAGTATCAAGAATTGTTTATATAATTTGAATTGGTTCTTATAAGGTGATAGGAACAGACAGGTATCTTTTATATGCCCACTAGTTATTCTACATAATGCATAATATTTAAGACCTTTCAGTAATAGAACTATGCACTTATAAATGAGGTAGACAAAAAATATAAGGTGATTAGCACAGTATGTATCTTCAGGTCTCAGGACACAGAAATTGAAATCTGAAATGGATTTGGCAAATCAACTTTAGTCTCAAACCAATCGAATTGAAGGAACATGTATAGGAGTAGTGGACAGAATGTGTACCTTGTGATTCATTATTTTTAAAAAATGTCACTTGGGAACTGAGCTAAATGAAACTCAATTATCTTCTGCTCTTTCATTGGCAACTGAGGTTTGAAACATTTGTATCTCTTATCTTCAGGTACTAAATCAAACTTCTAGACTGGAAATACAACTGCTGGAGAATTCTTTATCAACATACAAGCTAGAGAAGCAACTTCTTCAACAGACAAATGAAATTCTAAAGATTCATGAGAAAAACAGGTAAGGATTATTATATTCTACAAAGATTTATGTAGGAACTTATTGTTTGCCTTTATGGAAACGCTAAAAAGGTGGTTTTAAAACAGAAATATTAAGGAACAAATTATGATTCATATGAGCACCAGGAAACGTAATTGAAAGGTGTTGGGTGGAGTCCTATGGAATGGGGTAGATGAATAAAGGGAAGAAGAAGAGAGAACACAGTCAAGAACTCAGTGTCTATCCTATAAAATTAAGAAAAGTGAGGGAAGGGATGGAATGGGAGGGATGGGTAAAAACAATGAAATGAGTGAGATTGATCAAGAAGCATTGTATTCAAAATGCTTTGTTAGATAGTAGCCTCTTTGTACAACTACTTAAAGATGGCAAGAAAAAGTAAGTAAACCGTAAGAAGTATGCAGTATCAACAGTAGGATTAATATTGCTGCTTACATTACTAAGATAGTTGCTTGTGTAATATTTACCATTATAGTCTCTTAGAGGCAGTTAGTTGTTAAAATCCTACCACTACAAAACTTTCTTTGATCCAGTGACTAAATTTAAGCACACAGAATGTTGACATTTTTAGTAGAATTAAAATTTATAACCATGAAGAATAGATAGAACATTTTGGATAATAGCTCAATCCATTCAAGTTTTTTGTACAAATGAAGATGATTGAATTCAGACATCTTGTACTATAGAAAATTACAAACTATGGTCTTGCCAAAAACTTATTTGCCTAATAAAAAAGATTTTTATTTTTTTCATTTTAAACCATTTCCTCCAGACATAATAAATTTCTTTGGTTAGATTTATAGATGTCATCACATCGTGTGTTTTTGTAAACTATGAGTCATTGCACGCAAGTGAAATAGGACGTAGAGATCTTGAGAGCTGGGGCACTGGAACACTATCTCATTCTAAGTCACTTTCATTGGAAATGGACCTTTTGATCAAAGCACCAGCTCTCATAAGTCTTCTATCTTGTATTTCAGTGCATTTTCTTTAGTATTGGATGGCCTGAGTCTTTTCAGCTTTGTGTATCATATTAAGTTAAAGAACACTGGATCTACAGATAGAAACTAGTTAATGTCACTGTGCTGACAGAACTACAGCATCTTCCATATTCCAAACCAGGCAGACACCTGTGAGAACTGCTTTTTCTCCTCCAACTTTACAGAGCAAAGGAAATGTATGACAAAGCCAAGGTCACAGGACTTGCTAGTGGCAGAACCACAAATGCTAACCAGGTTTCTTTGTGCCAATTCTCTTTTCACTCACTTATGGCTTCCATATTACCTACAACCTCCAATTCCATGCTAGAAGTGAATCTCAATGCCAGTCATTACAATTAAAGTTCTGCAGGAAGAAAATAAACACGGTGTTGGTGTAGAATCTGAAACAGGTCACTCGTAATACCATGACTTGTTTGTGTAAGTTTTCCATTTATTTATCTTTGTACAGTGTCATAGGGGTAAACTGTAAAACTGTAAATAAACTTGACAGAACTTGACCCTGAACTGGCTGCGTGATGAAATGTTCTAGAACTGAAAAATCCTGTTGAAAAAGAAAACTTACCCTGCTGCAGTTTAACCAAGCAGATGCATGCATCTAACAGGACTGCTTTACTTCAATCATCTCCTGATTTAGAGTCACCACCCTATGCTTTAATTTCAGAGATAAAAACGAAACCCGTTTGCAGTCAGGTATTTCCAGATATGTTGTGCAAGAACTTATACAGGAGCTTTGAACAAATAGACAATAATGACTTTACCTTGTTTGGGTTTATCATTATTTGCTTTTAGAATTATAGAAATAACACACATTTTTGTAAAAAAGAGAAAAAATACAAGATAAAATTAATTCCTATCACACAGAGAGAGCTACATACTTTACTGAATACTGTACATAAATGTTTTCACAAAACTTTCATCATACTGTACCTATTATTATTATTATTATTTTGTCAATCATGGGGCTTGAACTCTGGGCCTGGGCGCTGTCCCTGAGCTCTACAGCTCAAGATGAATACTCTACCACTTGAGCTATAGCAGCATTTCTAGTTTTCTGGTGGTTAATTGGAGATAAGAGTCTCATGGACTTTCCAACCCAGGCTGGCTTTGAATAGTGATTCTTAGATATCAGCCTCCTGAGTAGCTAGGATTATAGGAGTGAGCAACCAGCACCTGGCTTGTACATATTATTTTGCAGCCTATTTTCTTAAGACATAAATATATTTTAGAGTTGGTAATATATCCCTTCAATACCTGTTTTCCCCTTCAGATCCAGGTTTTGAACTCAGGGCCTCAGGCTTGTTCAACTTGTTTGCCAGCTGACATTTACCAAGTAAGCTACATCTCCAGCCCAGTTTTTTGCTGTTTTATTTTGAAGATGGAATCTCACAAACTTTTTGTTTTATAAGTAGAACTTGAGGTTGTTTTAATCCATCTCTCAGTGGGTACATTACCACTTGTGACTGATCTTTTACAATGTTGTTGGCATGGATTTACATTCCTCAATGCATCCCTTACTGAAGTGTATGTCTCTGGTATAAACCAGAGCTGACACCTGAGCTGCCAGAATTTACTTGGACATCTTTTCTAATTTCCATCTTCTATCTCATGCTCAGTATTTTTCCTTTTAAATAGTATGTACTTCTTCCACCTTAACTCTTGGATTTTTGTTCTTCCCATGAAGATTTTTGATATAACAACTGATACCTTTTCCTATTAAGAAATCCTTGCTAGGAAATGTTATTAGTGTCTGTGGGTGTGTGTGCTTGTCCTAAAGCTTGAACTCAGGTCCAGGACACTGTCCCTGAGTTTTCTTGTACAAGGCTAGTGTCTACCACTTGAGCCGCAGCTCCACTTCCAGCTCTTTTCATAGTTAATTGGAGGTAAGAGATTCACAGCCTTTCCTGTCTGGGCTAGCTTTGCAAACCCTGATCCTCAGATCTCAGCCTCCTGAGAAACTAGGATAATAGGCATGAGCCACCAGCACCCAGCTCAGAAATGCTATGATTTGTAATAAGTGTACCTTAAATGAGGTGATTTTCTAAATTAAACTTTGTTTCCTGCTCAAGGAAGGTGATTGACTGAGTCTTGATATATAACTTACTAACTTCGTGTATGCTAGGGTCCTTTGCCACCCAGCAAGCAGCCAGCCCTGAGGCGCATCTGTCACTTCTTTAATAGAAAAGCGTTGACTATATTAGGGATCTCATTACACTGCACAGGCACTGTGATGAAAAGTTGTCCCTGCTGTTCCTTCCATAAAACTGAGTCCATGGAAGCTCTCCAAAAACTCCACCCTGGGAGGTGTCTGGAGGTGTCCTTGTGCAACAGCCTCCAAGAAGAATCTGGTTCTAAATTGCAAGCATGAGCTTTCTTATGTATATACATGATTTAATTTATTGCTAATGCTATTTCTTTCAGAATCATAGCGATTCCCCTTTCTAGAAATCATCTTTTCACAAGGAGGGCAGGGACTTGGATCTTAATCCAAAATTCATGTCTATGTTTCATGTGACCAAATTTTACATACATCTCTGTTCCCACTTGGCATCGCTTGTTTTGTGATGCAGAATACCTCAATGCTGACAACACCTTACACATGAATCTCTCAATTCTTGTTTCCCCTGACATTGCTGCAGTTATCTGTCTTCGTGCAGAAGATTCCAGTATGTGCAATGGACTGAAGGAGTATTATCTATTCTTTTTGTTGTTGTTGTTGTTGGTCTTGGGGCTTGAACTCTGGGCCTGAGCTCTGTCCCTCAGCTCTTCAGCTCAATGCGAGCACTCTACCACTTGAGCTACAGCACCACTTCCAGTTTTCTGGTGGTTTATTGGAGATAAGAGTCTCACAGACTTTCCTGCCTGGGCTGGCTTTGAACCTTGATCCTCAGATCTCAGCCTCCTGAGTAACTAGGATTACAGGTGTGAGCTACTGCCTTCCGGCTTTATTAGTATCTATTCCTAAGTCAGGACAATTCTTCCTTAATCACTATTTCCCGCTGCAGTGTTGGGCTTTGAACTAAAGAAGTCACATTTTCTTGGCAGGAGCTTTATCACTTGAGCCATATTCCCAACCCATTTTGCATTGTAGATATTTTTCAACTAGGGTCTTGCGTTTTTGCCCCAGAATGTGATCCTCCTATCAGATCTGATTTCATAGCTAGTATGACAGGTATGTACCCTTATTCCAAACTTATTGTTTGAGAGTTTCTTACTCATTTTTTCACAGACTGGCCTTGAGATCATCCCAATTTCTACCTTCTAAGTAGTTGGGATTATAGACATTCTGTTGCTGAAACACTTTTTATTTTTCCTTAGAGCCTGGATTTGAACTTGAGGCCTCAAAGCAGGTGTTCTACCACTTGAGCCATGTGTCCAGTCCCTTTATACATTGACTATTTTCAAGATAGATGCTGGCTTTATGCACAGGCCCTCCTGAGCTGCAATCCTCTCGCCTGTGCTTCCCCATGTGTATGTGGCTGTAAGGCATGCACCACTGTACCCAGTCATTATTCCCAGTCATTACACCAGCCGCATGCACTCATGCACAGCCGTTGGTTGGGGTAGAGTCATAGACTTTTATGCTCAGGCTGCTCTTTAACCACAATCTCATGATCTTTGTCCCCCAAATACGTAAGATTATAGGCTTGAGCTACTGTGCTTGACTTAAATCAGTATTTTAAAAGTGGTGTGTGTGTGTGTGTGTGTGTGTGTGTGTGTGTGTGTGTTCTGTTTTTATTTTTTTCTTACTAGAGAGGCAGAGAGAAGAGGGCTGTATTAGAAATCCAATTTAATGCTGGGTACCTGGCTCACACCTGTAATCCTAGCTACTTAGGTGTCTGAGATATGAGGACTACAGCTTTGCCCCCCTGGGCAGCAAAGTCCATGAGACTCTTATCTCCAATTAACCACCAGAAAACCAGAAGTGGTGCTGTGGCTCAAGTAGTAGAGCACTAGCCTTGAGCTGAAGAGCTCAGGGACAGTGCCCAGGCCCAGAGTTCAAGT